TTAAATAAGGTGTATAGATAGGTATATATTATAATTATATATATATAAATATATATATAAGAATATTTTTTTCAAAATATAAGAAATTGCTAATATTTAATTCTTTTTTTTTTTTATACAACAATAAATATTTAAATATATTCATTCCTTCGCTTTCTCTCTCTTCAATTCTCTTTTAACGAATATATCTTTATTTCCTCTTAAATGCACAAATTTTGGAGAGTTTTCAAATAATGCGAACAGATCTTATGTATTGTTAATATTTTATGTATAAGCATTTTTGCTTTGAAGTTGAAAAGCGGTACGAAATAAAAAAAGAAAATATTCCTCCTCTATGCGTAGAAATTCACATAGATAATACATTTGCACTGCAGATATATATAGAATTTAACATAATCGTTAAGTAGGAAAAATTATATATAGTTATGTAGGAAAAATATGTAGTCCATCACTCGATGGACGGTCGGGCAATTTATAATTTATAATGATGAATCTGTAATATCATAGTCGAATCCGTTGTGTCAATTACGGTGTTGGGTATGATTACTGTTGATCGTTGCTATACGAGATTAACGCTGGGACGGAAAATTAATTTATATATCTTGCGAAAGGTGATTAAGTGCCGCCATAATACTGGTATTATTGGAAATTCTCCATGACGGGAATGCATTATACCTATAACTTCTATTGCTCCGATCAACATCGCCGCGCGAAATTACACATATGTGAAATGCGTACGTACAATTCCGCCGGGGTCTCGTCAATTACATTACTTCAGAAATTCCTTCGTAGTAGAATTAAAAATTAAATATCTGATTCATATTCAATGGCGAATTCGCAATATTCCATCTATAATTTTATGGCCGTGGATCGAGCCATTTTATTTCAAATATCCTGTAAATCTCGGAATTTCATGGAGGATAAATCGATACGAATAATTAAATAAAACTTATCAGTGTATATACGCACACTTTCCTCTGTTAATTTCATTTAAAATTTAATTTTTATCGGCATTCTCGTTCCACTCGACTCATAATTACTTTCTCAATAAAATGATGGATTCTTTGTTAATATATATTTTTTGGGCTCTCTGAGCTTGTTGTATACACGATGGTAATCGAAGTGATGAAGAAATATCGGGATAAACAAGGGAAATAGGGAAATCGAATGAAACAAAACGCATGTTCAATTTGTGACTTTTGCGATTTTTTTGGTAGATTTATTTTTTATAATGCACATGTTTCTCGTGAAAAAATTAAATTCCGTGTATGAAATTAGCATTTAGAGTTTCACGTTTCGGTACAAAATTCATTGGGGGAGGGGGGAAAGTCAGTCGACGGACGACTGTATCTCAGGATACGCTTCAACGACGACGGCGACGTCGACGACGGCGTCATGCCCGGCGTCCGTCGAGATCTTTTGATAGATTTTCTCTTATTTATTTTTTTTCTTTATCTCTCGAAAGAGTTGAACGTTTCGATCGGGATTTCGCTTTTTTTTCCTGACCTTCTCTTTCGCTTCTCGTCCACGTTGCTTTCTCTTCTCAC